AAAAGCAACCCAGAATATGAAACAAATTTCCAGAGGTTCCAGGTGCCCAAATTAGAAAAGACTTGATTTTTTGTTAAAATACAACACTCAAAGGACAAAGTTATATAAAAATATATTTGTTGAAGAGCACAAACAGTACGTCTTTGAAATTCTAAAAAAAACTGAGAGATGGATACTCGTACTATCGTATCAGCAAAAATGGAAAACGCTTAGAATGGAAAATAAACTGGAAACCCAAACATTAACAACAGAGGATGATACATTGAAGAAAAAATGCTCAGCCATTAAGATATTTGGTCCGTTTCATACAGTCCCTTCTATTCCAATATAAATTGTTGGTTGTGTTTCCCCTTCCTTTTTGCAGCATGGCCTCCTGTGGTGTAAATCATCAACCCGCCATGAAATTATCAAAATTGAAATCAGCCTTTATCAGTACTGAATAAAATTGAATACATGTATGACAACTGAATATAAAAATCATGAACAAGTATATGGCCTCCTTGTTAATCTCCCTAGCGGAGAATTTAGGAGAACTAGCTGTCTACCAAGTATAGATGCAATTTAATTTAAGAAGCCAATTATTAGGTGGTTTCCGGGGTAGCCGGCCGTCACACCTTGCAATGATTGCAACAATGTTGGTACAGCAAATACTGGTTTAATTAATTAATATTTTATTAAACTACTTGACATGTTGCTTAATATCAAATCATTTACAAAGACCTTTTTGGAGTGATTATACAGACTACAGTGGAAGGTAACCTGTATTTAACCTGTACAAACAAAGGGATATGAACAAACTTTTATGACCACAACTGGGAGTTGTAAGCTTTCCATCGATAACTTGGATGCACACATCTGGTCATGCATCACTGACTCTCATTGTTTTGAAAACGGTACATGTATGTAAAAACATTGTGAACACAACCAGACATAAGACAAGTAGCTTCAAGGGATGTTAAAGAAAACATAAGCAAAACTGGATTTCCATCATGATCTTGTGTCTCATAGCAGTTGCATTTCGAGCAACATCATTAGCAGGAACAAGACGATGCCCAGCCACGGGCGTCGCCACAATTTTTTTCTAGAGAGGGGCAAAACACATTATTTCCAAAAATCCTTGTACTTTGTCTAGCATATTCTCAATTTATATATTAATTTTGTTTAGGGGGGATGCGGACATTTGCCCATCCCACCCTCATTGACACCCCTGCGGACGCCCATGTTGTTAAATTTGCATTAAATTAACAGCAATATGACTTTGCACCTCCTCTTCTTTTATTTTTCCTTCTTCTTTTCTCCTTTCCTTTTTTTGCCGCTTTTCCAGGGGGAGGGGAAGAGAACCTTTACCCCATCCCGGCGAGGCCCATGGCCTGTGAGGAATCTCTGTCAGGAACTTTTGTGGTCAGAGTAGTCTCACTTTATCATGGTGTGGAATAATCTCCCAGGTCACCGAATTTAACGCCTTAAGACTTTATGTTGGGGGGGGGGGGGGGAGGAGGAATTTAAAGAACGAGGTTTTCAGCAGTCCCATTCCCAAGCTTCAGGAGAAGGCCTGCATTTGGCATGAGGTGGACAATTTACGCGATCAACCAGCCATCGTGAGATGGGCCATGGCTGAAGAATTTTGTGAAAAAAGGGCAGATGGACACGTGGATAGTGGTGATACATATAAGCTCCGTTCAATATTGGAATTTCGCCCTTCCACATAATAAACATTGTATCAACATGTAAACACAGTCATCGACATACAAACACAGTCTAAAGCATCTTGTAAAATCATGGCATTGAGTGTTGGAAAAAAGTCATATTTTTTTTGAGGGGGGGAGGTGTAAACATTTCTTGAAAAGAGCAATTGTACATCCATTCTGTATGCAATGTAGACACATTTTTTTCTGCGGACACTTGGCCTCCGTAAAATCAAAAAGTGGTGTTGGGGCGGGGGGGGGGGGGGGGGGGGGCAGGCTGGTACCATGAATATGTGGTGCTTCTCAGGGTGACACGCGCGAAAATTAATAAAAGGCTCTAAAAGGCACTCTTTTGTGGCAGCTGCCACAAAAAGGGCATGACTTTTTGTAAAAAAGGGCACTTGTTTGGGGAAAAAGGGCACTCGTTCAAAAAAAAAAAAAGGGCACTCGTTACAAATATGGGGGGGGGGGGGTAAACGCTGGTGAAAAAAAGGAAAAGGGAAGTCTTTGCACAATAATGGGGGATCTCCCCCCCCCCCCCCCCCCCCCGTGGCTATATACGCCACTGATAATTAGTTAGTTCGCATTTTGTTTGCATCGATTAGGCCCAAAAAAAAAAATACTTGGTCTTTGGTCAGACCAAAGTTCCGGAACTGATGCGGCGACGCGGTTTTTTTTTTTTCAAGCTTGGATTGTACAGACAAGGTGGGGTTCTATATTTGCTTTTTTTTGTGTGTCCTCATGTACATTGGTGTCCTCCATCGATCATTTACCTTGGTGCAATTTCCCATTCCTAGGTGCTCCTTGGTACAAATTTTGAGGTGTGGCAATAGAGGGCGCTATTGGGAGCTTACACACCTATGAATGGGTTCAAGCCAGTTATACTGGTTCCATGAACTTACTATTCCCCCAACGTCTATAAATTGCTCTGTGTCATCTTCAGTGGGGTCATGGAACCAGACTACAGGATTGTTTTTCTTGATTTATCCAGCATCTACAAACAAAAAATTTAAACAAGTCAGAGTAACAATATTAATATTTGCTATAAAATACTAACCCCCAAAATCCATCCATTTATGAAACTTACAGCTTAACCGACAGTGTCCCAAAAGAATTTTATATATACCACATTCCAAACAATGGAACTCAGTGAAGCATGAATATAATGGAAAGTTTACAACCCATAGTTTATAATTGTTCATTTTTATTATCCCTAGGCTTGTGGGTTCTCTTTTCTTGGGGAGACCCTCTACATGTATAAATAAACCAAGGAGCTCAAAATACAAGATGCCTACCACATAACCTCAAATTATAAGCAGCAAAAATACATGTATATGTGTTCTTCAGGCTTAAATATCACTTGTTCACTACAGCATTGTGCTTGCGTTCAGTACAGAATACTCGGTTATACCCGTATACACTCCAGTTAGTGATTGAAATGGATGCAATGGGAGCAATAACGAATGCCACGTGATGTGAGTTCACCATAAGGATCTGTATGTCTGTTATATATACCAGTTTGTATGAGGTGTTGTTATTTTGTGCGGCTCAAAGAAATGATGTAGTGGCAAGGTAAAAAGATAAAAATAATTGGTTGGCCTAAACAGTGTGCAATTCAGTTTATAATAAAATCTCCAATAACTGTACCCATAGAGTGTGTGGCAAATTCTATTGAAATTGGAGGATTTAGGACTGTTATGGTAATAACAAAACAATACTTCCTGTGTACTTCATTGAATAAGTTAATTCTTGTTTATTTATGTTTTTGCTAAAGGTAAATCCAAATATGATTAGGACTAGATTATTCTACTCGCAAACTCCTGCATTCTCTCTATTTTAGCATTTACAATGCACTGCTGTCAAAAAGTTAATAAAAATATATATGCATGGAGAACATGAATCCAGTACCAAAAAAAAAAGGACACCCACATTTGACAGCAGTTTTCACCTATTTTTAAAAATATTTTTAACTGTCGATTAATAGCTAAAGTACTGGCCTTTAAGCAAATGTGACGAAAAAATCGTTGCATTTGCACATTTTGTGTTGAGCTATGCTAATTTGAACATTTCATGTGCGAAACCTGTTTGTTCACGGAGGTATACATTCCCTTCGCTTGACTGAGCTCAGCTATCAGAGCTTTATTTGAAGGCAAAATATTAGCACACTTCAAACAAGGATTTCTATTTCAAATTCTTTTTCTTGTGTTACTTTAATATCATCAAAATATAAATAAAGGTACCATCTTTCTCTCAGGCATTGAAACACTGTTAACAGCACCAATGCATGCTTGAACATTATCATTTGAAAAAAACGCGCTAACAATGAAGCCCATCTTAACATTTGAAAAGGGCATGACATTTGATTGTTATGTTATGTAATGTTATGCAGCAATGAACTTAAGCCGGCAGCTCATTGAGTAGATGATCTTAAAACTGACATGAATAATTGGACAGCTTTAATAAAAGTTACCAGGGCAAGATATATTTTGGTGGGAAGGTTTTTTAATATGTATGAACTACGAAAATGTCCAATTTAATAACCCGTTGACAAGACTGATTTTGGTGACTTGTATTCAAATAATATCACTATTTTTGCGACTTTATAAACCTTTTTTTTTTTACCATGCATGGTTAAAGGCCTATACTTTACTACTATGTGAAAAGATATTTCAAATACGTTCATTAAGTAGGTGAAAATTGCTGTCAAAAGTGGGTGTCCTTTTTTTTTTAACCACCCTGTAATACATTTTCTTTTAAAAGGACACACAGATTTTCAGCTTTTGGGAGTTACGAGAAAAAAAGGCTGAAAATATACTCTAGAGTATTTTCATGATCAACGACTCCAACAGTATTCTGACTTTAAAGGGCCCATGCAATGTATTTTTTTTAATGCAGTCCTTTAAAATGCACCTATGTATCCTACGTAAACTTATTTTCAAGCTTTGTTTTACCATATTCAAGGGTATTTTGGTGCCTATTTGGTTTTTATACTAATGTGAATTTTCTTACTCATGACAAAAGTGCGATGTCATTTCGGGCAGAAACCTCTGTTACAGCTATTTCAGCATCAAAAGTTGCCAGAATTTTGGATATTTTGCTGTTGTAACTTTTCTGTTCTTTGGTGATTCGTTGTTGTGTCAGTACATGGAATAAGAAGTAAGCCAGTGAGCAAGCCTTTTTCACAAATGTTTTCATTGAGCAAGTCTTTGGTTCACAATTTGAACAGAAAACTCCTAAACTGAACAGTGTCTTCCTGAAATGACATCGAAGCAACAGTGCCCTCAGTTGTCAAGAAAAGCATGAACATTTTTTTAATGTTTAAAGAAGTGCACTTTTCAATAAAATTAACTAAAAACGGATGTCAAATAGTTTTCATACATTCAAGAGGAGTAGAAAGTTGCACAAAATATTTTTCTAAGAAAACTCTTGTAAAAATGACCCCTTCTGCAGTAGTGTGTACTAGTCCTGTAGATTTTGGAATAATTTAGTATTAAATAATTACAACTTGGACTTGATCAAATATTCAAATATTTAAATGTGCTGAATTCACATGCAAGTTTCACATGCGTTAGCCTTAATTGGCCACCGATCGGGATTTGCTTGCGTGACTATTTGAATAGAAATAATTCCATTCTATATTTGGTGGATGATTCAATATTCAACATGTTGGTACAGCCCTAACATATGGTCTTGTTTACTATAGAAATGAGTGGAACAATATACATGACTGTTTGAATCTTCAATTTGAAGACATTGTTAATGTTATGTGCACAGTCAGCCTCTTAAAATCAGCAAAACAACAGAAAAATAGAAATTACAGGATATTTTATGCAAATTATATAAGGCAGACCTGTCTGTACAATATAATACACTGGATAATAAATACTCATGAGATATATTTAAAAATAACAGCTATATTATTTTTGGTTCAGTTTTGTTAAGAAGTTTAGTTTTTGGGGGGATGCTTTCAAGAGACATTATCTTATAGGCAAAAGCCAAAAAATAATTCCTGATATAAATATATTTACAAATACACTGAGAGTAACATATGAACAGCTTGCAACACGCAATGTGGACTTGCCACCAGACATGTACATTTTGTTGTAGGTGTTCCCTGGATTGTGATAGGTGGAATCTGTGATGCCATTTTCTTCCAGCAGGTGATCTGATGGTGACTGTGTACTGCAGGAAGATAAACATATTTGAAATATCACTGGAAATGCACAAAGTTGCCACGTTGTACTGTGGGGTAAACTGTAAATAACAATTGTGGTTCTAGTTATTACAATGTTCATATGGAATGTACTGCTTCTCCTGTTTCCTGTTCCCTCCCCCTCCAAATACCCCTCCCCAACAACCTCTATTCAACATCCGAGTGCTTTTCAATGCTTTTCAATTTCAATTTCAAGTTATTTATTAACCATCATGATTAAAAACATGAAATTCTATACCGTGTGTTAAAAACAGTTTAAAAACAACAACAAAAATCTGCAACAATTAATCACAAACAACTTACTATCACATACAAACACATAATATGAATACAAAAGAATACACCTGTCAATTCAACTGTTGGATTTGAATTTATACAGTCTTGCTTAAAAAAATAAGATCATCATTAAATGTGGAATTAAAAGGTAGCACGAGTTTGGCAGGATTTCAAACAGTTCGAGATTCATACCACACGCATATAAAAAGAAGTTATAATAGATTGAATCACACTCTGGTAAAACAGACAAAGTAGTCTCTGCACAAAAGATTTTAGCTTTCTGATAAAATTTTGTTTGCTGATTAGCTTTAGAGACTATATTTTGTGAGTGTTTCCATTCCAGGTTAATTGGTTGTCTATAATCGCTTCAGAATAAAAATTGGTTCCATGTTACTCGGAATGTGACACTTATAGTTTAGTATATATGAGGGTGACTGTTCTATGTTCTGATATCCTATGTTCCGACTGCTCAACCTATGTTCCGACAAACCTAACTCTTCCGTCCGACACACCTATGCTCCGACACCCCTATGTTCCAACAACCTACACATAAAGCTTGTTTAACTGGCTCGTTGGGGCCAGAGACCAGCCTATGTTTGTAGGGGTGTCGGTAGTGTTGCAACTGATCCTCAAAGTTCGGTTCGGTTGCAGTTTGATTTTTTTTCTTCGAACTTCGGTTCGGTTTGAAAAAATATATATTGCAAAATTAGAGCTTATTCTGAACATGGGAAAGGTTTCAGACTCCATAAAAAGTTTTTTTTTAAATTTTGACACGGTGAAAAAAGCTGAAAATGCCGGTAAATTTTGCCGAGGAAAGCACATCCTTCACCGCAATTGGTTTGGTCCAAACGTAACATGGCGCAGTAGGGTCAGATACTGACCATGCTGGAGGAATTACATGCAAAGAGCATTGAGAAAATCACAAGGTGTGTACGATTTTCAAAGCGTACCGGCCCAATATCCTATTGTATGCCTTGCTAGAACACTGCAAATAATGAAGATGAATGCGGTGACTTGTTTCACACGGTAAATTCAATCATCCGTGCGCTTTAATTTGGACCTTTCATTGCAAGCATTAGCATTCCTAGTGCTAGCAACAAATACTTGCTGAACAATTCCGAACCAACATTTGGGTTCGGTTCGGTTCAGGTTCGGAAGGCCAAGTTTGGCTATATTAAGTTCGGTTCGGCAGCAGCACTAGGTGTCGGAACATAGAGGCGTCGGAACAGGATGTCAGAACACAGAGACATAGGAACATACACCGCATTCCCACTTGAATTGGGAAAAGGTGGATCAAGATCCGGCATTTTGGTGTGATCGTTATCTTACCGCAACGAAACTGCAAGTCGCGTTCCCACTTATGCTTGATCCACCTTTTCGAATGGAAATGTCGAGTCCGAAAGGTCACTGAGTTCGGAATTATGCATGCGCTAGCTTGCTGAGCGCGCTTTGTGGGAGTACAAGTGTTGCATGCTTCGACGGGTCAATTTTCAAACAGCGCTATCAGAATTCCTCGACAAAAATTACGCAAATTCACCGACATAAATCACCGATCCGTTTAGAGGATCCGTGCATAAATTAACTGGTGAAATTAATCAAACAGTGCCGCTCATTGTGTGACGTCACATTCGCGCGGCAGAAATCAATGCATTAATAAGGGATTCCCTGGTTCTGAAGCTTCTCATTGGTTAAAAATAATCACATGACATAATTTTCCAATATTTTATAATCAATACTACACATTTGTCACCTCTGTACATACTGCGTTATCGGCACTATTCTCATCGCATACTCGTAAGCTTTTCCATGATTTTGTGCCAAAGTGACGTGTTTTGGTGAGTGCAGGCTTTACACTATACACAGAGTTATTTATAGATGGAAAAATATGTAAAATTTCACGAATGAAAAAGGTTTACAAATGGACGAATACACAACGAAAACTGTAAAAGACCTGGTGTAGTTTTAGGATATATACCAAGTGCGCTGCATGCATGCATCGTGCATGCGCGGTGACATATTTTGCTAGCCCGTAGTGCAGCATTTGTTTATCGTGCATGATTATTGTGCATGTTGTGCACGTTGGAAATGTTCACATGAACTACACGCCTAAAAACATATTTCTTCGTTCTTTAGACCGCAACATTTTCGTGCCTCTCATGCACCAGGCGGATGTTGACAGGTCAAATTGCCGGATCAGATCCACCTTTTGCGTCCATTTGACTGTGATCCGCCAATTGCAGGATCTGATCCACCAATTGGGGGATCTGTATCCTAGTCCAGAGGTGGATCAAGAAAGGTGGATCTGATCCTGATCCACCTTATAACGGTTAGCGTTCCCACTACACACAATTGCCAGATCTGATCTACCAATTAGGGGATCTGATCCTGCAACTTGGCAACAGGTGCATCAGATCCCCCAATTGGTGGATCTAGTGGGAACGGAGTCATAGGCTGAGTAGTCAAAACATAGGTGTGTCAGAACATAGCGATGTCGGAACACAGGGGCATCAGAACATAGGCGAAGGAGTCGGAACATAGGTGTGTCGGAACATAGATGTGTAACCTATATGAGGAAGACAAAAATCAACCTCGTACCTTGTTTTTAAAACATTTTTGAGGCAAAGTCCAAGTCATAGAGGTTGCCTTGGCTGTATGGAAGAAGTGAAGGAAAGCATTTAGGGTACCTAGGCAAACGAGGAAGGAACCTACATGTATGCAAATGAGGGGCACGAAGGGGATGTGGAGGACACAGGCATGGGGAGAGCAACAAATTAGGGGCACAATGAATGGGGAAGGGCACCAAGGCAAATGATGGAGGGCACCAAGGCAAATGATGGAGGACACCAAGGTATATGGGGACACAAAAAGCAAAATAAATTCCCACCTTGTCTGTAACAATCCAAGCTTTTAAAAAAAAAAAGGGGGGGGGGGGGGGGAACGCATCGCCGCATCAATTCCAGAACTTTGGTCTGACCAGAAACCAATTTTCGTTTGGCCTTACATATATTTAGCAATTCAGTCCCTTGTCCTTCCAATATCTGAACACAGGAAATTAAAGTCCTATGACATCACGTATTTGTTGATTGTCCATGGTGCTAAAAATGACTTCAAACTCGGACTTCAAACTCAAACTTCAAATCTACAGACTGATAAATCTGTCAACTGTTTTTTCATTTTTTTAAATTCTTATTTGATGTGAATACTAACAAAAACAAACTTTCAGACTAGAGGTTCGCGCTTGTTGTTACAAACGCAGAGTGGTCGGGTAGACAACTATTTCATTAGACATTGTCAGCTACGTTATGAATATGTTTATGTCAGAAACCAATTATTTTGTCCAAAAAGAATGGGTCTTTTAGGGTATGATAAATTTCAGTGAACATTTTGGTACACGTACAAGTTATTTCCGGTTTGATGATGGCATCAGTCAAAAAAGGGAAGGGGGAAACTTGTTTATCATTAAGTAAAAAAATTATTATGGAAAGTCAGTGTACATGTATGTAATAATACTGTAACAGCCAACTTCCGGTTTGATGACGTCACAGTATTTGAAAGCAAAAGATCAACATTCAGTGTAACAGATGTCATTTTTTTGGGCAAAAAACAAAGTAATGAGACAGGGATCAAATGATGGATTTAAATTAAAAATAAAATGATCATTGTTGAATTCTTCCTACAGTAACTTCTGATCTGATGACGTCATGATTGTGAAACATTGCAAATTCATTTATGGTTGCTCATGGGACATATAGGGGCAATTTTATAAAAATTTGATTGAGGGTTTTAACATTTTAAAAGATTAAACTGCTTTTGATGTGCCGCTAGAGGGCGCCTTTTCATGGGATGACGTCAAAATTATGTTTTTGTGATTGGCATCCCTCACTTACATGTAACACTTCCATAATGTATTTTTGTGTAGTAAAATGCTTCCATTTTAGAGTTAGATTCAATTCCTATTGCTTCTCGGTAATACCGGAAGTAAAGATCAAGCAGTTTTGTGCCCGGGAATAAGAAATGTTGCTCAAGGCGCCGTCTAAAACCTCATGAAAAAATGACCACGATACTCTATTTAGTTCAAGAGATATAGGTCAAACTATTTTGTCAAATTGTGCCATCAAATCGCTTGTCATTTGATACCTGATGATGTCATGATGACGTAACAACATTTATAACATCACTAGGTTTTATGATCATACCGTAAGCCATTTGGAAGAAATTGTGCTTTGTTTTGATTTCATGCTAATGTCTTTGTTTTGATTTCACCTAACTTTGACCTTCCGGTAGAACCGGAAGTAAAGGTCAAGGGAGTTCACGTACGCGACAAAAAATGTTCATCGATTAAGAGATTAAGAGTTATAGATAAAAGGAGATCGTCACTTTTATAACAAAAATTGCTTGTAATTTGACACTCGATGACGTGACGTCAGAGTAATATGCACCACTTAGGATGAGGGTTGATATATATTGAAAGTTACAAGTTCCTATCATAAACCGTTTAGGAGAAAATCCGCGGAAACGTGCTGTACGAAAAAGAAAAGAAAGATTAATCGTAACATCTCAATTATGTTTCGGAGGCTGAAAATTATGTCAGGGATAAATCAACAAATTCACCCAACTTCCAGGACACACTTCCTTCCTGCCCTTTGCTAATGAATTCATGTGCTCATTGGCGTACAAAGATGGCCAGTGCAATGCTTATTGTGTGCGTACCATAAACATCCTTTGCGAACAATTAAGCATCTTACATGTTCAATTTTTTTTTAAAATTGTGTACAATCGATACGTTCCATAAGCTGGAGATGACAACTTCATGTTTGAGGTTGGAGGACCCCCATCGGTTACATACCTATGTTCCGACACCCCTATGCTCTGACTACTCAGCCTAATGTTTCAACACCCCTGTGTTCCGACATCCCTATGTTACGACACACCTATGTTACGACATCCTTATGTTTTGACACCCCTATGTTCCAGCACCCCTATTACATGTACATCTCTATGTTTTGACACCCTCCTGTTCCAATACTGCTATGTTCCAATACCCCTATGTTCCGACTGCTCAACCTTTGTTCCGACACCCCTATACACCAACACCTCTATGTTCCAACACCCCTACAAATGTAAACATAGGCTAGTCTCTGGCTCCAACGCACCCTAAACGGGCTAACACAATATTATGTGCCGGTTGTTGGAACATAGGTTGAGCAGTCGGAACATAGGGGTGTTGGAACAGTCCAACCCAACAGTCTGTTAGAGCAGTCCAACCCCCTCCCCCCACCAACTCTCATGTTAGCCATTGCGTGGGTAATGTTTGGCTAATTAACCTATATGAAAGGATTACAGATACAGAAAAGCCTTGTAAAACTCACCTGACTTCTTTGAGAGGGACCCATAGGTCATTGAACTGTCTGTATTTCTCCACCTTCTCCTCGGCATTGCCAGTCTGGTGATTCAAGCTACTGGCACTTACTCCCCCTGATGTGTCTTGCTGCTGCTTCACTTGACCGGAGGAATCTACCTGAGGATTCTTCTTCTTCTTCCTCCTCCTGGTCTTCCTTGCTCTGGGTTTCTTCCCTTTGGATGTGGTTTCCGTGGCACCTAAAAGCCATGTAAGCTCAGACTCCATTGAAGAGTGTTTGCTGTGATAGCATGAATATTGAAAATAATTTGTATTACTCCATTCTTCTTCAAGAAGACAAGTTTTTGAACCAGTACAGAGAAGGTAGTTTATAATGACATGTTTTTGTCTTGTCTGACCCTATTTCTTTCTTTTTTTCTTGGAGTAGAAAATGCTTTAGATTATTAGACCAAAGCAGGGGAGCTTTCATTAAAATTTGAAATATAATATTTGTTAAAAAGAATTTCACAGTGATAAATGATTAATTATTAACCGTCTTGCTCATTTCTGAAATGTTTGAAGGAAGCTTTAAAGGAACGAAAATTGCAGTACATTTGCCCATGACATAAAACGAATTAGGTGATAATAAATTGCAGGCCCTGATAGTAAAGAGGCAAGAATTTGTATGCTGGTTTTGTAACTTGATTTTAAATTTGACATTCTGCTGTCTCTTCGTCAGCATTTCCAAACTGTGGTTAGATTCATTTTGTATGCACAAAGCCAAGACCAAACAACCTACTTGCACATGTTGTCAAAGGGTTTGGAATTATGGCTAATTAATTTTTCATATGCACGAATGGTAATTCTGCTTTGTGTATACTACTTATATGGGGAAATTCAGTTTTGAAATTAATCAGGCAACCTGTGGTCCGAATTTTATGTTTTTTTTTCTTCAAAAGATGCATAAGACTCGAGGCTAAAAAGTCACAATGGCTCGGGTAGCGAACAAACAATTTTTTTTGAGGGGGGGGGGGGGGGAGATCCCCTGCCGGCCCTTTTAGGGTTAAAGGCAAGGGCTTGTGATGGCAAGACCCATGATGATGTCATGATTACCTCATTCTTTAGGACACTAGTTCAATTAACTTGGGATCTTTACCTAAGTTAACTTTTGTAGGAATTTGACTACTTTTTTTTTTACTCAGGCCTATATCTAAAGGAACTTCAGGTCGGATTTGGTTGTAACTTGGTAAAGGTAAAGTAGTAGGTACTTAGACTGGGACGTGTCACGTTATGTCACATTAAAGGTGCATCCAAAATCCATATAGAACTAGAAATGTGTTTGTGAATAAACACAAGCTGTTTCTTACAAAAGTGTTAAAGTATGTGGGTAGAAGAAAAAATCTATGGAGAGGAGTGTTACAACTGATAATGTAGTAACCAACTGATAACGTATCACCAACCGATAATGCCACACATATTGACCGATACTGTATCATTAACCGATAATCTAACAAAAAATGATGGATAATGTAGTAAATGTTACTACACTATCAGTCAATTTTTGTTGCATTATCGGTTAGGACTGATACTGTAACAGCAATGTACTGATAGTGTAGTACATTTTACTACGCTATCGGTCAATTTTGTGTTACATTATCAGTTAGTGTTACAGTTTCGGTCAATTTGTGTGACATTATCGGTTGGTGGTACATTATCCGTTGGTTACTACATTATCAGATGTAACAGAGGAGTCTTGCCAAAAAAAAAAACTTTAACGAAAACAAGAGCCATTTTGGCGCTTTACACCGAAAATATTATCTTTTGATGTGATCAATTTATCTACATTTTATCTACAATGCATCCCAGTATGTGTAGATACAAAATTTGAACTCGGCCAAGTATAGTTAAAGTCGATATAGGCGTTTGAAAAGTGCACCTTTAAGATGATATCACATGACACGCAATCACATCATCGTGATGTCACTTCACATTTCACCTATAACACATATCCCTTAAGATGACGTCAGAGGCTCCATAATGACATCATGACATCAATTGTCTATGACCAACTTTACTTTGGGGTCTTTGTCTTTGCTGAGTTTAAAGTCAATCAAAGTTATCCAATTACATTTTAAGTCAAATTTTACAAGAAAAAAGTTTTAAAATCAGTTGATGACGTCATCAAGATGTCATCATGACATCACTTCCAAATTTGCATACTAGTAACATTATCTAACTACCCACCAAATCCCTTCAAATCTCGGCTGATGACTGCAAATGGTACACGACTAAATTTAGTGCAAAATGTATGGGAGCCCAGAGAGGCCTCATAAAGCTTATACTCGATCGTAACCCCATCTAAAAACACGTTAAAATTGTGCAGCAGCAGGATTCCAGTCAGGATTCCAGTGAGTTTGGTGGTTTTGAGAAATCATCTTACATTGAAAAAAACAAACTTTTAATTTTGCCGACGCGCATGGCTACGGGCGACGCGCGCATACCAGAAACTGGAGACTTAATTTGTTTGGCCTTATCAGACACTTGTCAAGACGCAACTTTGCTATGGGGTCTAGGCCTATGTCTTTGCTTTTGATGAAAAAAAATTGAAAAAAATTGAAATTGAAATGTACATGTTAAGAATAATTGATATGTGACTAAGTTCAATGTCCAAAGTTGCGTTAAGAAAAAAATGTATATTAAGTCTGCTTCTGGTTGACCTACTCTGTTCTGACAGTCCCTACCCTAATTTTTTTTACGGGCAAAATGAGGAAAAACCCCGAAAACCATAAATTTCTACCTTTTACCCTTGACAACACGCAGATCATGATCGTGCACATAAAAATTGGCATAAAAAAAATCCCTACCTACCTACCCTGTATTCAAATGCCATGAAATCGGAAGCAGAACTGTTTGCTTTTAAAAGTGGTTAAGCATTATTTCTGTTCTGATTTTTTCTTTTTTTTCTTCCACCCCAGATCCCATAGACTTTGTACACGTTTATTCGGCCAAGCACTTTTGACCTTAAACAAACTCGTATTCTAATGAAACCTAACCTATGTAAAAACCCCATAGTGAGTTTGTGTCCCAAACAGAAATGTCATGATTACGTCATTATGGGTCACAAGACGTCATCTTAAATGTGCAAACTTTAAGACCCTATATCTAAAAAACTGTACGTCGGAATGGGTTGAAACTCAGTATGTAGGTAGACCGGGATGTGTTATAAGTAAAAATGGAGGTGACATCATCATGATGTCATCGTGTGATTTTATATCGATTTTTGAAGTTTTGGACCTTTAAGCTGTATCTCATGAACGCAATATGCTGAATTCAAAATTCTTTTTGCATAATGTTTGTTAGTAACAGGTATATTCATTATGTCATTTACAACTCATATAAGGGAATGTCCGATTGTCATGAAACTTGGTAGGTGGGTAGATAATAGTACAAGTACATACATTTTGAAATGATGTATCGATGACATCATCGGTAGATTTTTAACGATTTAAAAAAATATTTACAATTTTATTTTGCTTACAAAATTTATCACTTTTATTCATCCAATTGGCTTCAAACTTGGTATAGACTAAAACCACAATAAAAAAAATGAGCACTGCCGAGTGACATCAAGATTACGTCATCATGGGTCACGTGACATCATCTTAAATGTGCAAACTATAAGACCCTATATCTAAAGAACTGTATGTCCGATTAGGTTGAAACTCGGTATGTAGGTAGACCGGGATGTGTTATAGGTAACAATTAAGGTGATGTCATCGTGTGATTTTTATCGATTTTTGAAGTTTTGGACCTTTAAGCCATATCTTACTAACGCAATATGCTGAATTCAAAATTCTTTTTGCATAATGTTTGTTAGTAACAGGTATATTCACAAAATTGTGAAAATTGTGTGACATCATTATGACGTCATCAAAAAGGCGATTGTTTAAAACTCATATAAGGGAATGTCCGATTGTCATGAAACTTGGTAGGTGGGTAGATAATAGTACAAGTACATACAAATGAAAGGATGTACCAATGACATCATCGGTAGACTTTTAACGATTTAAAAAAATATTTACAATTTTACTCCGCTTACAAAATTTATCACTTTTATTCATCCGATTGGCTTCAAACTTGGTATAGACTAAAACCACAATAAAATAATGAGCACTGCCGGGTGACATCATGATTACCTCATCATGGGTCACGTGACATCATCTTAAATGTGCAAACTATAAGACCCTATATCTAAAGAACTGTATGTCCGATTAGGTTGAAACTCGGTATGTAGGTAGACCGGGATGTGTTATAGGTAACAATTAAGGTGATGTCATCTTGTGATTTTTATCGATTTTTGAAGTTTTGGACCTTTAAGCCATATCTTACTAACGCAATATGCTAAATTCAAAATTCTTTTTGTACTATGTTTGTTAGGTAACAGGTATATTCACCAAATTGTGAATACTGTGTGACGTCATTATGACGTCATAAAAAACAAACCAAAAAAACCCCAAAAACACATATCAGGGAATGTCCGATCGTCATGAAACTTGGTGGGTGGGTGTTTAATAGTTCTGGTACACAAAATCTGACATGACGTAACGATGACATCATCGGTAGATTTTTAACGATTTTTAAAAATATTTCAAATTTTATTCTGCTTACAAAATTTAACACTTTTACTCATCCGATTGGCTTCAAACTTGGTATAGACTAAAACCACAATAAAATAATGAGCACTGCCAAGTACTGTTACGATGACGTCATCACGAGGCGGGTGACGTCATCATGAATGTACATTTTTCAAAGTTTTTCTATTGAGAAAACTATCTGACTGGCTCAAAAGTCTGTATGAACGTAGTCCGACACGTGTTTTGGAGGAAAATTAACCTAGAGTTGGGGTAAAATTATTTCTGCTCACTTAAACCGTTTCTCCTTCTTTGGACAAATTTGATCATGAACTTTACCAAATACTAAGTAAAGATGACATTGTTCTCATACACAAGGGCTGGTTGGATCGTCATAAAACTTGGCGGGAAGTCAGATAATGTTAATAGAAGCCACAATCAGAAGTGATGACTTAATGACGTAATCGGTTGATTTCTTTACAATTTGTTTTATGAATTTCCAAATATATTTCTTATATATTAAACCCCAACAAATGCGGAAAAGCCTGTGTCCTGTTCATCGAACAGGCATAGCTCTAGTTTTCTTTATGGCCTTATGATGATGTCCATGACCCATGTGCAGACTTGTATGACTCGTGACTCGGACTCGAGTTCCATTTTCTGTGACTTG